AGTAATATAGGCAATATGAATATTATTATAAAGACAATAATTTTGCCATACTTCTTGTTTAGTAATGTTGTTGAAACCTCTAACATTGTGTGTAGCAATTGTTAGATCTAAATCTCAAAACTTTTGTGTAGATATAGAAGTTTGTGATGTGGATGGTATTGGGAGTAGACTAGGTAGGTCTGTAGAGATATTTGTTGGTTCTTGTAGTAGTAACAGTAGTTTTGCAGGTATAGATGCAGGTTCTTCAAAGTTTTGGTCAGGAGTTGTTGTTAGTATATTACTAGAAGAAGCATTATTCAAAGCTGTTGGTGTTGGATATGATAGTAGTTGTGTTGATTGTAGTGTAGTAGTTTGTAGTTCTCCAGTGAAAGATTCAGATATTAATGATGAAGTAGCTAAGAAAAGGTCTGTTAATGTATTAGATATAGTATAATTATTAGATATATTTTGAGTAGATGAGTTGGGGTAATTTGATTTGAAAGTGATATTGCAGTAGAATTATAGAGCTTCTCTATATAGTACGAAGTGGTTTGATATTAGTTTTGATTCAGAAGGCAAGTAAATATGTGCTTCAGAATAATCTTTTTTAACAGAAATAGTAAGATTGTGAAAATGGTTTTCTATTTAGTATTCAAAAAGGCTAAGGTGTCTAAGGAATGAGATAATAGTTTGTGGTTCTGATAATGCTGACAGTTGATAATATTTAAGGAATTTGTTATAGCATGTTGTTAGATGTTGAAGAGGTCTTGGATCAGGATTAGTGGTTTGTTTAGTGAAGTAAAGTCCAAGACAGACATCTTGTCAAACATAGTAGTATGGGTTGTATGTTCGGTCATCTTTAATTATATTAGGGAGAAATTTTGGTTTGAGGGAGTGAATATTGAAAGTAGTAGACAGAGGAATAAAAAGAAAGTATTTGAAGCTTTCAGCTGGTAATAAATAGTAACTATGTCATGAGTATCTGTATTCAAACTCAGGATAGATATATGCTATGCTAATAGTCTTCTTTAGTTAGTATGCAGATGGTGTAATTATATATGTTGTTGAGGTTATAACTGAAAGTTTCAAAATATCTAATAAAGGAGTTGATAGTTTGGAGATATGGAAGTGTCGAAAGGCTGAGAGATAGTAAGATCTTATTGTAACATATATTAGGGTTGTATATAATTATATGTAGTTCATTAATGTTAGAAATGTTTGTAAAGTTATAAAGAGCATCTGAATCATATAGGTTTGATGATATTGACGATGATTCAGACAGGTTGTCTTTTACAAGGTCGCTCACTGTTTCAAGCTCAGTTTTTATAGCTGTGCACGATTCTATAGCCTGCTCTGTACATTGGGTCTGGCTATCATATAAATGGTCCTCTGTATAGATATAAGAGTATCTTACAATCACAAGTATTTTATAAATATTAGTAATTAAAAAGTACAGAATTTTGCAAAGTAAATAAACTGATTATAATTTCTTTGTTTTAAAAATATTAAT